ACTTTAAAATGTTAACAGCTGTTATAAAGCTTGGAAGAGTCAGGAAATTGTTTTAATATAACTCCAGTTGTATTTGTCTGGAAAAAGAAACTCATATACACCTAGGATGGCTTGAATGTGAGTAAATCATGTGGTCATTTTTGGTTAACTATCCCATTAAGCCTGGTCTCATTGACTAACGCCCTAGATATAAATGATACTCTTTAATTATCATTCACAAGCTGAATGCACAGTAAAGAGCTATAAATAAGATGCTTATAAAGTTTTGTTTCTTACAAAGGATTGTAGGTAAATATCCACCTCATCCAACACCCTTTTTCTGCTTTCTGTCTTACAAAATATACTATTTGTGTGTGAGAAACCACTAGAAACAATTCAGATCATGAGTGAACTATTCGAGTAGATCAAACTGAATTGTGCAAATCCGTTTGTCTGATTAGATAAAAATAATGATTTATTCGCAAATTTGTCATTGCTAGTTCTGATTCTAAACAGATGACTGAAAACACACTGAAATATTATATTTAAAAAAAATCATTTACAGGTCGGTATACGGTAATTCTACTGACAAATAAGGAAAATCTCAACTGCTTGATGGTTTACAACTTTACATTGTTTCGAAACGTAAACTATCATCCAGCTCTAAATGGATCAATGTGACTATAAGACATTAGGAGATTAGAAATATTAACATCATGAATTTCTGTAAAGCTGCTTTGAAACGATGTGGATTGTGAAACACTACAAATAAAACGTCTCAGGTTAATTATGTAACCATGGTTCCCTGAGTAGGGAACGAGACACTGCGTCCTCTAGGGGTCGCTATGGGGAATGCCTCGTCGTGACCCGTGTCTGAAGCATACATTGAAAAATCACCAACAACACGTTGGCCCGGCGACAGCCATGACATCACTACCGGTGCGACTATAGTATAAATAGGCACTGGGAGAACACATCATCCACTTCTTCGTCTGAAGCTTGCATCCGAAGCATGGCAAGAAACCTAGAGGACGCAGTGTCTCGTTCCCTACTCAGTGAACCATGGTTACATACGTAACCTGAGACGTTCCCTTTCATTGGAACTTCGAAATGCGTCCTCTAGGGGTCGCTATGGGGAATGTTATACCCACGTCACCATGCTGAGGGGAGTGCATGCCAGAAACCATGGCGAGCACTAAGTACCAACTCTACCATATTGCCATGGGAGTCGCCCTTGGGACGTTAGACGGCCAAAGGCCTTGGCTACATACCCCAAAAAACGTACCTGTTAGGGCCAGACTCCTGGGCCCGGGGTAGAGCTCAAGGCTTGGAATCAGGAATAGATTCCTTTAAGGGAATACGACCAAGAGCCTAGAATCATACTAAATCTTGGCCTGTCACACAGGGGCTACAGCACGCTCTGCATATGCTAAAGGAACTGTCTCAACAGACCCCTAGTAGCAACACCCTGTTAACGTAGGTATCCAGAGGATACATAGGTGGAGTGGTGCCCAAGACGGAACCGGGGTTTTAAACCACTCAGAAAGAGCACGAGGCTGCTGCGTGTAGCTCTTACCGTACAGGATTTTAGAAAAGAACACAGAGTACTAGCGTGCGAACTTACCACAGTGTGGATTTTAGAAAGTGTACAAAGACTTCACGTGCACACTTACCATAACATGGATTTTAAAAATATCGTTCTAAGGGGTTCTCGTGGGACCTCTCGTGGGGTTATAATGCTGGAGTGGCTAGCAGTAAATCTGTAGCTGAGGGAGTAAACATCCAGCTCTCAATCGAGAGGGAGCTCGACCTACTGCATGTTCCAATAGAGGAACAGCTAGCAGTTATTTAGCTGAGGGAGCAACACCCCCAGTTCTCAAACGAGAGGAGGCTCGACCTGCAGCATGTTCCAAAGCTGGAACAGCTAGCAATAATTTACTTAGCTGTGGGAGCAACACACCCAGTTCTCAGTCAAGAAGGGGGTTCGACCTACAGCATGTTCCAATGCTGGAATGACTAGCAGTAGTTTACCTTGGCTGAGGGAGCACAAACCCAGCTCTCAACGAGAGGGGGCTCGACCTACAGCGCGATTGTTAGAATCAGAAGGGTAAGTGTACTGCAAGCTAGCCAAAAAACTCAGCGCATCAGAGAGGCAGAGGAAGGGCCTAGTTCGCCTGATGCTGCTGGTTCCAGGTGCTCTGGGAAAAACAGAGAACTCAACTCTCACGTGAGAGGAGAACTCTGAATTCAGAAGGAGTAGCGTGCTCACAGGTAACCCTTTGATAAAAGGGGAGCACTGCTCAGCACTACCACGAGAACAGCCCATGGAGCGAGGAATCCAACTCCTCAGAGAGAATTAAA